TTTTTAAAATATATTGTTATAATATAATATAAATTATTATTTTTTAATGGTTACTTGTAATTAATTATGTTTTGGTAATATATTGCAGGCGCCAGTTGAGGATTTTGGAAGAGATAATGTTGATTATTGGCCTTTTTCAGAACAAATGAGATATTTGATAGTCTTCAAAAAGTTGTTAACTATGCAGTCGGTATGGCAACTATCTGTGGTTTTACACTCATTATTTCAAAGCACTCAAAGGGAAGAACATTGAGGATTCTTAAGTGTAACCGAGGGGAACGTTATCGAGGTAATAAACTATCCAATCTTATTAATGCTGTCATGAGAAAGTCGAAAACAAAATTTACCGGATGCCTGTTTGAGATGAAATTGAAAAAAGTGGCCGGTACGAAAGATTCCTGGAGTGTATATTTTCCTCTGGATGACCGGAAGGGATACCATAATCATCCGATGGTTTTGTATCCCGAGGGTCATCGACAGTTCAGCGGATTGAGTGAAAAGGCGAGACAGATCGTCCGTGACATGACAGCTGCCCAGGCAAGACCGGCGGTAATATTGGCAACGATATAGGAGAAATACCCGTCTGACAACGCGGTTCGTCAACAGGTTTACAACTATAGGGCTAGAATCCGATCAGAGAGTTTCGAGGGCAGAGATGTGACTTCCCAGCTTATGCATCTGGCTAGCCGTGCTAATTACATAGTTTTCACCGATTCTGATAAGGACACACACACATACCTTGACATGTGTGTTCATGTCGCATCCCTAGTCAGCCCTTCTCTTTCAGACATATTATTGGTACGTCGGTATAGATTCGACGTACAAAACCAGCAGGTACGTTAATTTATAAATAACAATTTAGTACGAATCTTAATTATTATGTCTGAGTATGTACGTTTTTTTTATTCTTTCTTTGATTTTGTTGCCCTCATTTGCACAGGTACAAGATGCCGCTTTTGGAAATAATAGGGATGACGCCGTGCAACAAGAATTTCTTGATTGCATATGCAATTGTGAAGGACGAGAGCCAGAACAGCTACGACTGGGTTTTGAAGCGGTTGAGAGATCTGATTGGGTCTGATGTACATCCTTCAGTCATTGTCACTGACAGGGAGATGGGGTTGATGAATCCTATTATGACTAATTTTTCGATGTCTGCCCATCTTCTTTGCACGTGGCAAATCCTTTTCTGTTCCTCAGACAAAATAAAAATATACGTAATTGACAAAATAGACAACTAGACAATTACGTGTTAGATATATACATGACATATTGTGACTAACTATATCAATGATATGCTATTAGTAAATAAAAGTATATGTAACTAACAATAAAAAATAAAGTACGTAGAATATTTACCAGAGGAGGATGCAGTACCCCAAAACGGCCCCCAGCCTGTCGTGGAGGAGCAGGTCGTACCGGTCGTACCGGTCGTACAGGGGAAGGAAGAAGTGCGCGGTCTGCTTATCTCCAGAGTCAGGCTCCTCGCCCTCATCATCGTCCTGGTCATCGTCCTGCTGATAATAGTGGACCGGACTCTCGACGATCGGAGCCGACGACTGACGAATACGTATCCTCCTCGGCATACTGCCAGCCATCGATGAGCTGGGCTGCCCACCGCTCTGCTGACCACTCGGTTCCGAAGGAACGATCGGTGGCAATCTCCTAGCCATCTCAGCCTGAGCTAACGGAGCCTCACGGATCCTCGTCTCCCTCTCCAGACGAACGTCGGCATCTACATACCGACTCTTCGTGTGTCGGGGTCCAGAACCGTCGAGCTAACCAAACTCCACAACTCGCTCAGATCCATCACTCTAAATCAACAAATTAAACTAAT